CATTTTCCGTTTTTTCCATCTAATTTACATAAGACTTGGCAAAGAAGAAGATGCAGTGTTTTACTTGGGTACTTAGCTCTTTGTCCTTGAAGTATTCGACTTACATTCCTATTCAGTGGTGATGTAAACCGAAGTTAGACGGTTCGAAGATGACAGAGAAGTTATTTTCCATTGTGGCATTTAGTTTCATGTTTTGTGATTTCCATAATCTAATATTGATAAATGCAACCGAATATTTCCCCCAAAATGTGTTTTTGTGGGTGGTGTGATAATACGACACCAACCTCAGGCTTACATTAAGCTAACTCAGAAGCCCTTAAGCGCTAACTTCAAAGTCAAACTCGTAAACTGGATATTATCTAGATTATGTGACGACTTGGTCATGAGAACTGACAAATATGGAGAATAGCGTATGTTTGGTTTCCTAAATAGAGTACTCTAGGCCCTTAATCGACGTTTTAGTGATTGAATATTGTCAAAACCAACGTGCACAGGTCCCTCACCATGACGAACCTTACCTTTGCCAAGGGACCGGTCTTAATCACCCAAGGAAAGGTGTGGGGAAAATTGGCGGATTTTGGTTGAGTCACGATGAAATTTACCCGATCCCCCTTCCCCCTTCCTTCCTTCCCCCCACCCCCCATCAGACTATATGATAGTCCAATAATCTTCCCTCATCAGCAGTTAATTGGCAATTTTCTATGGTTCCCTTCCTCTTTATATTCTGTTGGCGAATGATTCCCTCTCTGTTTCCCTGAAAACTATATGATTTCCCCCCGAATCCTTCCCCCCCGGGCGATGGTAAAAACTGGTACTTAATTCAAAAGAGTCGTGCTTTTAAGAGTGCTTTCTCTTACTATCGAATGTGTACAGTCTTAAAGATTTTAATGGCGAGGTTTAAATGTTGTGTTGCAAATTGTAACTTCAGCGTTTTCCCAAACCCAAGCGCACCACCTGCCAGCTGTCCAGAAGTAGCATTACCTGACAGCCAAGATAATCTTGAGGTAACATCTGAAGTATCAGAAGGCTGTGTGGACATTTGTTGTGGGTGTGACAGTCGGTATAAGTGGTACGATGAAGAAGGAAAAGGTATTTTGTCTCGACGTGGACCATGTTGCGAATAGATAAATAAATGAATAAAAATATCCAGTTAATGATGATGATAATGATGGTTAAAGGACAGTGTGGAGTCCAACTCAGTCTGAAATCATACGAGTGATCAACCAAATCGAATAAACCTGAATTTGGAGGCCGATTTGTTAATTACAAGCATGATTACTGGCCAATTGGACGACACGAATTCATTTTACCAATTGATAACAACTATTACAATTTCCAAAAAATATATATTCATTTATATAAGGGCGTGTAATTCCAATCTTCAAACATTTAATTATAACAGTCATTGAGAAAAACATTCTGAAAACTCGAGAAAACAGCTTTCTATATTGTAACATCCCTGGCCTGGCTTGGGATGGTGGGCCGTTGCTATGGCTACTGTGGTCAGTTCTTTGATTGGTGAATTTATTTAAGTATACTCAATGTGATTGGCTGACATAACTGTCCCATTAAAGGTTTCCGATCACATCCAACTGTCCGATGACACTGTTCGATTACAACTCTACAGAATTACTAGTGAAAAATAAGTCAGTTCATCCACCAATCATATTTAAGAAAACTGTAATGCATAGTCATAATAACCTTGAGATTATACTGTTGCAACTGGATCATAAGTTTAAAAATTCCTTTTTTTCAGGTTTGTGCTGCCTTTTCCTGTTCCATTTTCCATTTTTGGTGATATTCTTGTCCATACTTGCTGCAATCACGTATTTTCTGTATTGGTATATCATCGATTGATATACCAGTAGCAGCTGTTGTGTACTACGAACACTGACTAGTGTCAGTGACTCTGATGCAACCCCGAATCATTCCCAAAGCATGAATTTTATGTTCTTTTCAGTCAGCTGTATTATTCAATCAATCCCCCATCTTCCAGAAAACAGGCTAACAGCTATAATGCCAAAATGACAACTCCAAAAATCACATAACCCACTAGAAGCAACATGAAAAAGCATGTACCTGAAAAACGATGAAACTAATCACATATAGAGACTTTTTAACTGATCAACTGATTATGTTTTCTATTCAGCTTGAAACCTTTAACAATAGATCCTACGTGCCAACCTAACAGGAATTGTTGGAAGTGTCGGCCACAATCTTTAATTGCAGGGGAAATCCAAATACTTGAAGTTCTTTTTTTTTCCAGTGTGACTTAGCAAAGGCAAAGTGGGTTCAGAGTAGCTAGTTCCATTTTGGGTAAATGCGGCTTGCCGAACGTGAAATCGTATCTGTTCGATTTTCTTACAACAATAGGACGTCTAACACAAACCAACGACAACAGGAATCTTTGCTTGTTGACTGCTTTTTATTAGGAAAAACTAAGAGAATCGCTTTTTTATTGGGACTTCGCCGCGTTTAATTCGATGTGCACAGATCTCTCTTCCCAAAATTTCATTCCCTAGGTTTTAGTTTTTTTTTTCTTATCCGTAAATTAGCTGTTCAAATCGAAGAACTGCAGGGCGCTGATTCAATACCGTTCGACAGCCAAGATAAGTAATCAAACAAATGAATAAATAAAGAAATACGATGGGGGATTGATAAGTACACGTAAATAAATAACTTCAATTTGACCAAGGTATGATTTGACTAGACAACTCCGATTGCTTGATTGTAAGCTAAAGTGAGCCCTGACAAGTGAGGCTCTGAAAGCATCTGAATGCCTAGCTTTCCCCCGTAAGTCATACCAGCTGTACCTGGTTTCATGCTTGAAACATAATTCAGCGCCGCTGTCATTTGATGGTGGTCGAGAATCTACTACAACCACCCCTGGAGGAGATAGTAGGGGAGATGTCCTGGCCAAAATAGAAAAATGTTTTTCTTTTCCACACAAAATATCGAAGTATCAGGAAAAAAGTACTGAGATATTTTTGCTGAATCATTACAGTGTAAAGACCAACATAATTGATTTGAATAAAGCAAAGTTTCTTCTACAAGAAGAAATAAGTATAACACCCATTCCAGTTTTATGAAAATTTCTTCTCACGTAATGATATTCAGGCAAGGAGAAAGAGAAGTGGAAGAGGGGGTGAACTTTCGGTTATAAGCAAGCTTACCAAGAGGTCGAGAGCAGAAATCATCGAAATGAGTCAGAACTCAGAATTATTTCCGCTTCATTATGGCCTGGTTATGAAGTCATCTACACTGACTCCCAATGAACCATTGAATTCGCTTACAGACTTAAACAACTCTCCTTTCATTTACAAAGGTTGAACAGTAGATTAGATCTCATCCCCGTAAACAGATCTACATTTGTACCTGCGCTGGAAAACTCATGAGAGTAAAGCTATGAAAATGTTCAGTATGATAAGTTTAACTAATCTTTGCTCTGTAGCAACAACTTCTGTCTTGTTTTCCAATGCCGAAATAACGATTATCGTTATTTCTAAATTGGCACCAAATTTATGGATATAGTAATTTCGTGGCACTCTTTACCAATGCTCTTTACACGTGTTAAATAAAGAGAAGGACTCGGTTCCACTGTCTTACAACATTCAAGATGGCGGAGGAAAGGGGTAAATGTGCGTTCAGTTGTGATCAGCATGATCTCGACACCAAAATAACGATTATCGTTATTTCTAAATTGGCCCTGAAATAACGAATATCATAATTTCAGTGCATGTCTGAGACCTTCGGGCTCGAAGCTTGGGAACTAGTATTCAGGGAAAGATAAAATGGCGGCTTACGGCGGCGAAGGAAATCTCAGTAGTTTAATATTTTAGCGTGAAAAGGCTTGGGTGTTGTGATCTGGTTCTCAAGTAAAAAAAAAATCACGGTCTGCAATGGCCCTACCACCTTTTGAACAACAAGAAAACATTGAAACGGTGGTAAAAAGCAGCAAGTTTCGAAGTCTAAACGAAAGATGGGTAAGCTGAGTTTCAGTCAAATATCATGACATTTGGGATGTAATTTCGATACCGAATAAATAGTTCTACATGGTTATACACGCATAGGATTCTGTTGTGTTCACGTGAAGGCCATTTCAGCCATTCCTGCCACTTGTAAGTGGTAGGAAATAAAAGATATGTATAGTTGTTTCGTATTGAAGCCCTGTGAAATCACAAATTTGATTTATTTCTTCTTTGTTTTAGGTGGTCATTATCCATTACTTTTGGAAGTCGATGCTGATGAGAAAGAAAAAATGTTTATGATTATTTCTTCTCTCGAACATTTTACTATTTAGGTACCAAATAATCTTGATACTGAAGACCATTGCATCCTATTATGAAAAATTTACCCCTGATTGCTTTGTCAACATGTATGATGTAATATACCTTGAGATTTGTGGGATTTTCACATGTAAACTAGAAATACCTGTAGAGGGTAATGATGTACTTAATGCAAAGTGTTTTGGTACAAAGTCTGCTTTGCTGTAATCTACCTGAAGGTGCTTTTTATATGCTAGTAACACTTGCACAGCCCAGTCAAAATGTTCTTTAGTAGTAGACAAGCTGGCTGTTGTAATTATAGGCAGCAGAGGCCAAACCTCATCCTGAAAAGCAGTCTGAAAGGTGTGAAGTCAGTGGAAGATACTTCATCGTAGGTGGCCAAATTGCAGGCTGTCAGCCCATTTTGAGTGAGTAGTTAAACTCAAGATCGGCTATTTTAACTAATTTTATTGAGAGCCAAATCCTGCAAGGCTTATATTCTGTATTAATTTGAAGTGTTACTTTTATGTTTCTTATTTTGCAGTAAGTGGGCTTGTTGTGGCCATTTTTCTCTCAAACATTTTTTTCAGCTTAGTCAAAACGTTTTTTAGAAGTAGGCAAGCTGGCTATAGTAACAGAAGGTAGAGACCAAACCTTGTCCAGACTAGACGCCTAACAAATGTTCTGTGTGGACAGCCAAATCCCTGGTTACCGGCACATTTTGACTAGGCTATTTGTTATTTAGCTACTAAGTAATCTTATTATTAAAGATTACTGCATTCCTTTTTAATAATTTGCTGCCAATTGTATGCTGTATATAGCTTATGATTTGTGTGATTTTCAAGAGTAAATTAGAAATACCTGAAGATGGTAATGATGTACTAGATAACGTACTTGATGCAAAGCAATTTTGGCACAAAGTGTATGCCTTGTCCTCAGGTGATTTTAACATGCTAATAAGATTTGTTATTCAAATAATATACATCAGCTGGAATGGGAATATTGAAAGAAAAATAATAATATTTAACCATAACAAGTTTTGGTTTTATGTCCAAATTAAGCACTTAGTTGAAGATCACTGCACTGATCAGGCCCCGAAGGCCAAAAAAGTGCTGTCTGCTGTTAGTTTAATTTTTGTCATTTCTATTGATTTATTTTATTTATCAATGTTTCTTTGAGTTATAATTCATTGACCTCTTTCAATAGTGCAGGTTCGCTCATGTAACCTAATCCCACATGTATGTATGTACAATCTCAGTTGAAATTTTGAGTGGCAGGCAAGCTGGCAATAGTAATAGGCAGCAGAGGCCAAATCTTGTCCTGAATAGAAGTCTGACATGTGTGAAATTGGCAGCTATTTCATTGTAGGTGGCCAAATTGTTGGCTGCAGCACATTTTGACCTGGCTGATTGTGTGTGTTATGTATGTGTTCTTCTTTTTAGGTGTTAAACAGGTCAAAGTACCGAAAAAAACCTCTGTGATAACTTGGTAGTCTAAGATGTAAAAATTTTTAATAATAAGGTAAAGCTTGATCATTCTTAAGAGTTTGCATCTGTTCTAAAAGTTTTGGGGAGAGTTAGGGGAGCATTATTTATACAAATGTATTTAAAAAGTAACAAAAAAATAAAAAGAACTAGGGCAAAATCCCAATTTGCTTTAAAAGTTTATTTTATTAAGAGCATAATTCTGGATATAGCTTGGGATTTGTGTGATTTTCACAAATTGTTAGGTTGTTATGTAAACTTAATTTACAGGAACCTTGTTAATTTTCAGCTTCAAGAACAAGTACATAATTGCAGGAAAAGCTTGAAGCTTGAAAAATTGACTGATGAAACTGGAACAGATGTCATGAGATTTGTACAATAGGTTGGCCTGGGAGGGACCAAGAATTAAAGAATTCATTGATTCTCTTACACCTTTTGTCTGCATAGTGTGCTTCTGTAGAGCTTAGTTATTGCTGTAGAAAACGTTTTTGGAGGGCCCTTGAGATCACTCACTTTTGAGCTAGTTGCCCCTAGGGAAGAGGATATCTGTACTTATTATCTCCCTTGGGGGGGGGGGGGGTGAAGGGTTAAAGACTGATTCTTCTCCAGTAGCCACAAGTACCCCTGCATATGGAAATTTTGAACACTATTAAAGGGCTAGTACCCTCATTTCATACTTGAATTTCTAATTTAGTGTAAGTTATGACAAATAATGAATGTAAATTCATCTTGGTTGTACAGGTTATATCCAGCAGTCCTTAAAAAAAATAAAAAGGTATTTTTCTGAATTAAAAAAAAAGTGTTCTTGCTTCAAAGTAAGTGCATGATATGTCATTCAATTAATGCTCTAGCAGAGTTTTTGTTTGAAATGCCAAAATCAACTTCATGAGTAAGGACAAAAAAAAAAAGGCAATAAGCAAATGTTCTTCTGTATCCTTTATGTCAATTTGGGCTGAAAAACAGGTTTTTTTCCTTTTGCAAAAATTAGCTTATTTCACGACCAAAAACGATGCAAACAAGCTGAAACGTTATGTTTTCAGCAAAACAGTGATAGAATCTGCGAAAAAACAATGGAGACAAGCTAACACACAGTGTTCTCAGTAAAATTTGGGCAAACAAAACCTTAAAAACCAAAAAAAAAACAATTGCGCTGACTTACCCATTTTTTGCCAAGATAACTGCCAAAACACTGAAAACTAGCTTGAAACTACATGTTTTTCACAAGATCGCGACGAAATCTGTCTAAAAACTCCAAAATACGGCAGAAATGTACGATTTTTGCAAAATTTTTCGCTAAAGTTGACAAAAACACTAAATTCGACTGAAAAACACGTTTGTTTTTTTTGCAAAAATAAGCTTATTTCAGTTTTAAAAACGCTGCAAAAAATGTTCTCAGCAAAATAGTTTAAGAGTCTGTGGGAAAACACAAAAACCAAGCTTAAACCAAGTGTAAATTGATAAAAAGGCCCGAATTGCGCATTTTGGCAGTTATTTTGGCAAAAAATGGTATATTTTGATTTCAAGCAAACTTTCAAGTAGTTGTTAAAGTTTAGAGCCAAACACAATACCAAAAAAAAAATTGGATGTTTTCAGAAAAAATTGTGACCCTCAGCCTAATCATAATCCCACCCTACCCAAGCCCTAACTCTAGCTGCGAGCTATCCTAACCCTAACCCTAACCCCGGGTTAGGGTTAGGGCTCGGGTTAAGAACGGAACTTTTCACTCCAGTCAAAATGATGCAACTGGTTAACATGGTCCAACCAGCCAAAACAAGATAAAATGGTTTAAACGGTGAAAAGATTTTAATTACGTGACATGGTCCAATCGGAAGAAACGATCTCACTTAGTAAAATGGTGCGACTGGTTAACATGATCCAACTTGATAAAATGATGCCAATATCTAAAATGGACAAACTGGTTTAAATAATCCAACCAGTTGAAATGGTCTAACTGGATAATGCATGTGTAACCAGTGAAATTGGTTCAAATAATTCAGGTAAGGATGGTAACATTAGTTAAAAAGATCCAGCATATTACAGTGGTTCAACTGGTAAAAATAATCATCCAACTACTAAAAGTTATTAAACCCCAATCAAAATTAATCCAACCGCTTCAAATAATCTAACTGGTCAAAATTCTTCAGGTGGTTATTTAAGTGAAAAAGGTGACAAAATCTTCTTAAAAATATTTTTGAAGAGGCTTACACCCTTACCCTAAACACTAACCCTACCCCCAAACCCTAACCCCAAACCTTCACCCTAGCCCTAACCTCAACCGCAGACCCTCTAACCCTAACACTAAGCCCAAACCCTATACTGGTAACCCTAAAACCTAACCCTAAACCCTAAACCCTAACCTATAGCCCTTAACCTAGACCTAACCCTAACCCTAACCCTAACCCTAACCCTAACCCTAACCCTAACCCTAACCCCAACCTTCTCTATCTATCCTGTAAGTGTACCAGTCGGCCTATCGTTTGTTTTTCAGTAAACTTTCAAGTAGTTACTGAAATTTACAAACACAATACCAAAAACCCTGCAATTGAATGCTTGTAGAAAAATATTAACGCCAACCCTAAGCATAGCCTCATCCTAGCCTTAACCCTAATTCTAACACTAAACCCCGCTAACTCTAAGCATAATTTTACCCTAGCCCTAACCCTGATTGTAACACTAAACCCCTCTGACCCGAAGCAACCCAAACTCTAACCCTAACCAGGTAATGGGCTCCTGCCCTAACCCTATCCTCAACCCTGACTTAAACCCTTTACCATAGCTTAGGATTGGTTTGGGGTTTGGGTTAGGTTTAGGATAGCACAGAGTTAGAGTGAGCACAGGACGAAATAGCATGATTCCGTAATTCGGAAAAATGAAACTCTATGTTTCCACATCATTCACTTCTTCCTTGGACCTGTTATGTTTCCGTTATGATTCCTGAACGGAAATATGACGACACGTTTCCGTTGCATTTCTGTCAACGGAATATTATCATCGCCTGTTTCCGTTACGTTTCCTTGTACGGATTCAAACTTTTACCGTCAAGTAAAACATATATATATAAAGTGCTGTACAGTTCTTACACCACGTTACCATGAAGACGTGATCGTTCGAGGACAACAAAGGCAAATTGACGTGCATTAGGTGTGTACGTTCGTAGGAATCATAAGAAGTCCTAGAAGCTTCGATGTTTTACACTGAGCTATGTGCATGTTAATTTTGGAACTGTTTCGAAACCTTACAAAATTGAATCTTTTAAACTTACTCTGTGCTTAGATTTTTAAGCAGCTGGATCATTTGAGCCAGTTTAGTCACTCAAACCAGCAATACAATACTAGGCTAACTGGATAGTTTTAGGGTTAGGGTTAGGATTTTCAAGTAGGCACACGCAGTTGTGTGGATATTGTGGTACATGGAGTTTAGTAGAGTGTAGATTTTAGCAGTATTTGCCAGTGTTGACATATTTATAAAATTATGGTTCCAAAGTGCGTGTCACTGTTGAGAACCCAAGAAAATCATGAGAAAGTCGCCGATGGATTAGCCATAAAAATAAGCCCAACTCTGAGTCAATGCCAAACCACAAGAAAGTTGTGAAACTCGCGCCAATGTAAAAAAAAAAAAAAACAACTGAGGTTCGAAGTATGGGTCGCTAACATCCTATGAAAATCATGGGAAAGTCGAGGAGATTGGTCATGGTACCAACCAATGCCACTTTCCCATGAAAATCAAGAAACCTGTGGTAACTAGCCAACATATGCTAGAATGACAATCTTTAATAAAATTCATATCTAATAAGGATGTGTGAAATGGCCAATATCGCTCTTGGCCGAGATACTGGTTTGCCGTGTTTTGGCAGTTATTTTGGCGAATATGGTTAAAATCAAATCTGTGTAAAAACAGTAAAATCAACGAGTTATTGAGGTTCGTCAACATAGGGAGGGTCCTCTTAGTCTAGAGAAAAACTTCTGCCCACGGCTAAAGGCGTTAAATTAATAAATTGATATATCTGGGCGGCATATCAAACAGCAACACTAAACTTCTCCTTTCTCACAGCTTTTTCCCCTTTAACATCTTTGTTCATTCCATTTTTTTTAAAGTAAAAACTCGTTTTGGAGGCATAAAGGTCCCTAAAGCAACGTTTCAAGATTTTATGGCGATCTTGTGAAAAACATGTAGTTCCAGCTAGTTTAGAGGGTTTTGGCAGCTATTTACACAAAAAGTGGGTAAAATCAGCCCAATTTGTCGTGTTTCTGACGGTTTTTACGCGTTTTTTCCCCAAATTTTACTGAGAACACTGCGTTTTAGCTGGAATAAGTGTTTTCACATGGATTGTATCCCTATTTTGTTAAAGACATCGTGCTTTTGAATGTAAAATAGGCTGATTTTTGCAAAAAAAAACATAAAAAACTTGTTTTTCAGGTCGAATTGAGCGCTTTTGTCAACTTTTGCGTAAAATTTGGCAAAAACTCGTGCGTTCTGCCGGATTTTGGTGTTTTTAGATAGATTTCATTGCAATTTTACGAAATACATGTAGTTTCAGCTAGTTTGCAGCGTTTTGGGCTTGAGACCGGCAAGAGTGATGGTAGACACTCTTAGCAGAGATAATTGTGCTAGCAGATATTAAAATTTCACCTGTAAAGACAATAAATTAATTGAACACAAGAAAAAGGAAACTTGATAAAAAAATTAGAATAATGGCGGGGAGAAAAGAGGGCTGCACTAAAGATTATGTACTTGTGTTCTTGAAGCTGAAAATTAACAAGGTTCCTAACAATTTTTGAAAATCACACAAATCCCAAGCTATATCCAGGGTTTTCTCTTAATAAAATTAACTCTTAAAACAAATTGGGATTTTACCTTGGTCCTTTTTTTTTACTTTTTATGTACATTATTTATGTATAAATAATGCTCCCCTGACCCTCCCCCAAATTTCCAGAACAAATGGAAACTCTTAAGAATGATCAAGCTTTACCTTATTATTTAAAATTTTTACATCTTGAATTATCAAGTTATCACAGAGGATTTCTTGGTACTTTAACCTGTTTAACACCCTAAAAGAAGTGCACATATATACTACACACAATCAGCCCAGTCAAAATGTGCCACAGCTGACAATTTGGCTGCCTGCCACAATATAGCTGCCGCTAACTTCACACTTTTCACACTTCCATTCAAGACAAGGTTCAGCCTCTGCTGCCTATTACTATCACCAGCTTGCCTTCCACTCAAAAACATTTTGACTGAGCTCATCCATACATACATACATAAGTGGGAGATTAGGTTACATGAGCGAACCTGCACTATTGAAAGAGATCAATGAATTACAATTCAAAGAAACATTGATAAATAAAATAAATCAATAGAAATGACAAAAATCAAACTAACAGCAGACAGTACTCTTTCAGCCTTCTGGACCTGAGCAGTGCAGTGATCTTCAACTAAGTGCTTAATTTGGACATAAAACCAGAACTTGGTATAGCTAAATATTATTATTTTTCTTTTAATATTCCCACTCCAGCTGATGTGTATTATTTGAATTACAAGTCTTATTAGCATGCAAAATCACCTACGGACAAGGCACACACTTTGGACATAAAACCAGAACTTGGTATAGCTAAATATTATTATTTTTCTTTTAATATTCCCACTCCAGCTGATGTGTATTATTTGAATTACAAGTCTTATTAGCATGCAAAATCACCTACGGACAAGGCACACACTTTGCACCAAAATAGCTTTGCATCAAGTACATTATCTAGTACATCATTACCATCTTCAGGTATTTCTAATTTACTTGTGAAAATCACACAAATCATAAGCTATATACAGCATACAATCAGCAGCAAATTATTAGAAAGGAATGCAGTAAATTTTAATAAGAATATTACTAAGTAGTTAAATAACAAATAGCCCAGTAAAATTGTGCCCGTTGCTGGGAATTTGGTTCTCAATAAAATTAGCTAAAATAGCCAATCTTGAGTTTTACTGCTCACTCAAAATGGGCTGGCAGCTTACAATTTGGCCGCCTACAATGAAGTACCTTCCGCTAACTTCACATTTTTCAGACTGCTTTTCAGGAAGAGGTTTGGCCAGCTTTTCTACTACTCAAAAACATTTTGACTGGGCTGTGCAAGTCTTACTAGCATATAAAAAGCACCTTCAGGTAGATTACAGCAAAGCAGACTTTGTACCAAATGCTCTGCATTAAGTACATCATTACCCTCTTCAAGTATTTCTAGTTTACTTGTGAAAATCCCACAAATCACAAGGTATATTACATTATACATTCCAGTTGACAAAGCAATCAAGGGTAATTTTTTCATAATGGATGCAATGATCTTCAGTATCAAGATTATTTGGTACCTAAATAGTAAAATGTTCGAGAGAAGAAATAATCATAAACATTTTTTCTTTCTCATCAGCATCGACTTCCAAAAGTAATGGATAATGACCACCTAAAACAAAGAAGAAATAAATCAAATTTGTGATTTCACAGGGCTTCAATACGAAACAACTATACATATCTTTTATTTCCTACCACTTACAAGTGGCAGGAATGGCTGAAATGGCCTTCACGTGAACACAACAGAATCCTATGCGTGTATAACCATGTAGAACTATTTATTCGGTATCGAAATTACATCCCAAATGTCATGATATTTGACTGAAACTCAGCTTACCCATCTTTCGTTTAGACTTCGAAACTTGCTGCTTTTTACCACCGTTTCAATGTTTTCTTGTTGTTCAAAAGGTGGTAGGGCCATTGCAGACCGTGATTTTTTTTTTTCTTGAGAACCAGATCACAACACCCAAGCCTTTTCACGCTAAAATATTAAACTACTGAGATTTCCTTCGCCGCCGTAAGCCGCCATTTTATCTTTCCCTGAATACTAGTTCCCAAGCTTCGAGCCCGAAGGTCTCAGACATGCACTGAAATTATGATATTCGTTATTTCAGGGCCAATTTAGAAATAACGATAATCGTTATTTTGGTGTCGAGATCATGCTGATCACAACTGAACGCACATTTACCCCTTTCCTCCGCCATCTTGAATGTTGTAAGACAGTGGAACCGAGTCCTTCTCTTTATTTAACACGTGTAAAGAGCATTGGTAAAGAGTGCCACGAAATTACTATATCCATAAATTTGGTGCCAATTTAGAAATAACGATAATCGTAATTTCGGTCTCGAGATCATGTTGCCCCTCTAGGGATACCAAAACACTGTAAGTGAATTAAATTCAACATGATCTCGAGACCGAAATAACGATTATCGTTACTTCTGAAATAACGAATAGCATTATTTCAGTGCATGTGTGAGACCTTCGGGCTCGAAGCTTGGGAACTAGTATTCAGGGAAAGATAAAATGGCGGCTTACGGCGGCGAAGGAAATCTCAGTAGTTTAATATTTTAGCGTGAAAAGGCTTGGGTGTTGTGATCTGGTTCTCAAGTAAAAAAAATTACGGTCAGCAATGGCCCTACCACCTTTTGAACAACAAGAAAACATTGAAACGGTGGTAAAAAGCAGCAAGTTTCGAAGTCTAAACGAAAGATGGGTAAGCTGAGTTTCAGTCAAATACCATGACATTTGGGATGTAATTTCGATACCGAATAAATAGTTCTACATGGTTATACACGCATAGGATTCTGTTGTGTTCACGTGAAGGCCATTTCAGCCATTCCTGCCACTTGTAAGCGGTAGGAAATAAAAGATATCACAAATTTGATTTATTTCTTCTTTGTTTTAGGTGGTCATTATCCATTACTTTTGGAAGTCGATGCTGATGAGAAAGAAAAAATGTTTATGATTATTTCTTCTCTCGAACATTTTACTATTTAGGTACCAAATAATCTTGATACTGAAGACCATTGCATCCTATTATGAAAAATGTACGCCTGATTGCTTTGTCAACATGTATGATGTAATATACCTTGTGATTTGTGGGATTTTCACAAGTAAACTAGAAATACCTGTAGAGGGTAATGATGTACTTAATGCAGAGCATTTGGTACAAAGTCTGCTTTGCTGTAATCTACCTGAAGGTGCTTTTTATATGCTAGTAACACTTGCACAGCCCTGTCAAAATGTTCTTTAGTAGTAGACAAGCTGGCTGTAGTAATTATAGGCAGCAGAGGCCAAACCTCATCCTGAAAAGCAGTCTGAAAGGTGTGAAGTCAGTGGAAGATACTTCATTGTAGGTGGCCAAATTGCAGGCTGTCAGCCCATTTTGAGTGAGTAGTTAAACTCAAGATCGGCTATTTTAACTAATTTTATTGAGAGCCAAATCCTGCAAGGCTTATATTCTGTATTAATTTGAAGTGTTACTTTTATGTTTCTTATTTTGCAGTAAGTGGGCTTGTTGTGGCCATTTTTCTCTCAAACATTTTTTTCAGCTTAGTCAAAATGTTTTTTAGAAGTAGGCAAGCTGGCTATAGTAGTATAATAGTATAGTCTATAAGGTAGAGGCCAAACCTTGTCCAGACTAAAAGCCTAACAAATGTTCTGTGTGGACAGCCAAATCCCTGGTTACCGGCACATTTTGACTAGGCTATTTGTTATTTAGTTACTAAGTAATCTTATTAAAGATTACTGCATTCCTTTTTAATAATTTGCTGCCAATTGTATGCTGTATATAGCTTATGATTTGTGTGATTTTCAAGAGTAAATTAGAAATACCTGAAGATGGTTGATGTACTAGATAATGTACTTGATGCAAAGCAATTTTGGCACAAAGTGTATGCCTTGTCCTCAGGTGATTTTAACATGCTAATAAGATTTGTTATTCAAATAATATACATCAGCTGGAATGGGAATATTGAAAGAAAAATAATAATATTTAACCATAACAAGTTTTGGTTTTATGTCCAAATTAAGCACTTAGTTGAAGATCACTGCACTGATCAGGCCCCGAAGGCCAAAAAAGTGCTGTCTGCTGTTAGTTTGATTTTTGTCATTTCTATTGATTTATTTTATTTATCAATGTTTCTTTGAGTTATAATTCATTGACCTCTTTCAATAGTGCAGGTTCGCTCGTGTAACCTAATCCCACATGTATGTATGTACAATCTCAGTGGAAATTTTGAGTGGCAGGCAAGCTGGCAATAGTAATAGGCAGCAGAGGCCAAATCTTGTCCTGAATAGAAGTCTGACATGTGTGAAATTGGCAGCTATTTCATTGTAGGTAAATTGTTGGCTGCAGCACATTTTGACCTGGCTGATTGTGTGTGTGTTATGTATGTGTTCTTCTTTTTAGGTGTTAAACAGGTCAAAGTACCGAAAAAAACCTCTGTGATAACTTGGTAGTCTAAGATGTAAAAATTTTTAATAATAAGGTAAAGCTTGATCATTCTTAAGAGTTTGCATCTCTTCTAAAAGTTTTGGGGAGAGTTAGGGGAGCATTATTTATACAAATGTATTTAAAAAGTAACAAAAAAATAAAAAGAACTAGGGCAAAATCCCAATTTGCTTTAAAAGTTTATTTTATTAAGAGCATAATTCTGGATATAGCTTGGGATTTGTGTGATTTTCACAAATTGTTAGGTTGTTATGTAAACTTAATTTACAGGAACCTTGTTAGTTTTCAGCTTCAAGAACAAGTACATAATTGCAGGAAAAGCTTGAAGCTTGAAAAATTGACTGATGAAACTGGAACAGATGTCATGAGATTTGTACAATAGGTTGGCCTGGGAGGGACCAAGAATTAAATAATTCATTGATTCTCTTACACCTTTTGTCTGCATAGTGTGCTTCTGTAGAGCTTAGTTATTGCTGTAGAAAACGTTTTTGGAGGGCCCTTGAGATCACTCACTTTTGAGCTAGTTGCCCCTAGGGAAGAGGATATCTGTACTTATTATCTCCCTTGGGGGGGGTGAAGGGTTAAAGACTGATTCTTCTCCAGTAGCCACAAGTACCCCTGCATATGGAAATTTTGAATACTATTAAAGGGCTAGTACCCTCATTTCACACTTGAATTTCTAATTTAGTTTAAGTTATGACAAATAATGAATGTAAATTCATCTTGGTTGTACAGGTTATATCCAGCGATCCTTAAACGACGTAAAAAGTTATTTTTCTGAGTTAAAAAAAGTTTTCTTGCTCCTTAGTGAGTGCATGATATGTCATTCAATTAATGCTCTAGCAGAGTTTTTGTTTGAAATGCCAAAATCAACTTCATGAGTAAGGACAAAAAAAAAAAGGCAATAAGCAAATGTTCCTGTGTATCCTTTATGTCAATTTGGGCTGAAAAACAGGTTTTTTTCCTTTTGCAAAAATTAGCTTATTTCACGACCAAAAACGATGCAAACAAGCTGAAACGTTATGTTTTCAGCAAAACAGCGATAGAATCTGCGAAAAAACAATGGAGACAAGCTAACACACAGTGTTCTCAGTAAAATTTGGGCAAACAAAACCTTAAAAACCAAAAAAAAAAAACAATTGCACTGACTTACCCATTTTTTGCCAAGATAACTGCCAAAATACTGAAAACTAGCTTGAAACTACATGTTTTTCACAAGATTGCGACGAAATCTGACTAAAAACTCCAAAATACGGCAGAAATGTACGATTTTTGCAAAATTTTTCGCTAAAGTTGACAAAAACACTAAATTCGACTGAAAAACACGTTTGTTTTTTTTGCAAAAATAAGCTTATTTCAGTTTTAAAAACGCTGCAAAAAATGTTCTCAGAAAAATAGTTTAAGAGTCTGTGGAAAAACACAAAAACCAAGCTTAAACCAAGTGTAAATTGATAAAAAGGCCCGAATTGCGCATTTTGGCAGTTATTTTGGCAAAAAATGGTATATTTTGATTTCAAGCAAACTTTCAAGTAGTTGTTAAAGTTTAGAGCCAAACACAATACCAAAAAAAAATTGGATGTCTTCAGAAAAAATTGTGACCCTCAGCCTAATCATAATCCCACCCTACCCAAGCCCTAACTCTAGCTGCAAGCTATCCTAACCCTAACCCTAACCCCGGTTTGGGGTTAGGGTTAACGGAACTTTTCACTCCAGTCAAAATGATGCAACTGGTTAACATGGTCCAACCAGCCAAAACAAGATAAAATGGTTTAAACGGTGAAAAGATTTTAATTACGTGACATGGTCCAATCGGAAGAAACGATCTCACTTAGTAAAATGGTGCGACTGGTTAACATGATCCAACTTGATAAAATGATGCCAATATCTAAAATGGACAAACTGGTTTAAATAATCCAACCAGTTGAAATGGTCTAACTGGATAATGCATGTGTAACCAGTGAAATTGGTTCAAATAATTCAGGTAAGGATGGTAACATTAGTTAAAAAGATCCAGCATATTACAGTGGTTCAACTGGTAAAAATAATCATCCAACTACTAAAAGTTATTAAACCCCAATCAAAATTAATCCAACCGCTAACCCTAAGCAACTGGTCAAAATTCTTCAGGTGGTTATTTAAGTTACTCTTCTTAAAAATATTTTTGAAGAGGCTTACACCCTTACGAACCTCAACCGCAGACCCTCTAACCCTAACACTAAGCCTAAACCCTAACCCTAAACCTAACCCTAGCCCCACACCATAACCCTAAAACCTAACCCTAAACCCTAAACCCTAACCTATAGCCCTTAACCTAGACCTAACCCTAACCCTAACCCTAACCCTAACCCCAACCTTCTCTATCTATCCTGTAAGTGTACCAGTCGGCCTATCGTTTGTTTTTCAGCAAACTTTCAAGTAGTTACTGAAATTTACAAACACAATACCAAAAACCCTGCAATTGAATGCTTGTAGAAAAATATTAACGCCAACCCTAAGCATAGCCTCATCCTAGCCTTAACTCTAATTCTAACACTAAACCCCGCTAACTCTAAGCATAATTTTACCCTAGCCCTAACCCTGATTGTAACACTAAACCCCTCTGACCCGAAGCAACCCAAACTCTAACCCTAACCAGGTAATGGGCTCCTGCCCTAACCCTATCCTCAACCCTGACTTAAACCCTTTACCATAGCTTAGGATTGGTTTGGGGTTTGGGTTAGGTTTAGGATAGCACAGAGTTAGAGTGAGCACAGGACGAAATAGCATGATTCCGTAATTCGGAAAAATGAAACTCTATGTTTCCACATCATTCACTTCTTCCTTGGACCTGTTATGTTTCCGTTATGATTCCTGAACGGAAATATGACGACACGTTTCCGTTGCATTTCTGTCAAC